AACTAGGAACGCACTCAACACGTGATATATGATAACACGAGTATTCAGCCAATCATCGGATGAATTAGTTGGTTCCGTTTTGCGTACTGGTTCTCCTGCTCTTGTTTCTGTAAAATCCGTAGTTTTTTCCATACTTTTCGTAGCTCGTAGTTTTTCATGAATTTCCGTAGAAACTACGGAGAATCCGTAGTAGTTGGAGTCTATGGATATTCAATGCTGGAGGCATAGATATCTAAGAGATATAAAAAAATATCATTAACAGAGCAGGACAACTTATCACACTGATGGAACTTGGGTAAATTTGGGGTATTCTAAAACCAGAATTTGGGAGGATACATCTATAAAAAGTGCTAAGAGAGCCTTTTTGAGCAGTCTTTCAACAGGTTTAATTACTCGCACAGGAAAAGGCTCATGGTGTATAGTTGTTCATGTTGGTCATGAAAATGGATTTATTCCTGAAGCATGTGATATATTCGAAGCTAAGGAAAAGAAAGGAGATTACCACAGGGAAATGAATTCAGAATATTATGAAAACTGGTTTGAAAAAAAAATTACTGCCTAACTTGCTACTGAACAGTGTAATTGTGTTGGATAATGCATCTTGTCACAGCATTTTGTCTGAAAACATTCCTTTTTCAAGTACAAGGAAAGCAGACATTCAGCGCTGTTTGACAGAAAAAATTATTACTTGGGAAGTTGATATGTTAAAAGCAGAACTTTTAGTTCTCATTTTCAAGTTTCAAAAACAATTTGAATTACATTCGTATAGATGTTGTAGCTGCAGAAGCCGGACATACTGTGCTGCGTTTACCACCATATCATTGCGAACTGAACCCAATTGAACTCATATGGAGTAAGTAGTGTGAATGGATATGTAGCATCCAAAAACAGAACTTTCAAAAAGGACGTAAATTGATTGAGAATGGAATTGATTCAGTGACTCCTATGCAATGGGCTAAATGCGCGAGGCATGTAATAGAAGAGAAAGAGAAAATGTAGAAATTAGATTGTCTGGGGGGGTAGAACACAGTTGAGTGTGTGCTATTTAATATTGATGAGTCGGATAGTTCAGATTCTTCAAACGATAATCTTAGCGGGATTGAATACCTCATTTAAAAAAAGGAAATTAAAAATACAAGGGCCGTTTTCAAGGCCACAAATTTAAAAAAAGGCAGAACTATAAACAGTTATAAGTAAGGTTATAAATACAAGCTAACATCTATTAGAAAATATAATATGAAAGTGTCCCACCAGTAGCCGAATGCTTAAGATTGCTGAATACTGGTAGTTTGATTTTGTTTGAACCCAAGCAGGCTGGATTCATGGTCAGTTTTCATGGTTTTTGCCATATATAACATGAATATGAGACCATTTCCTTTAGAAAATCCTCACGAATGTATCTCACCCCTTAGTCAGATAGCTCTTGTGTGCTTTGCCATATTCAAATCACCTAACCTCGCCAATATGGGAAAACTGATCAATTAAATTAACTGTGGTAGGAGGAACAAGGATTTCAGTCTAAAGGATGAGATGTCTCCGTGGAGACTTTATAAGGGTAAAGCACTTCTTTTATATAATACACCGAGATACTCAAATACAGAGCTTACAGTTATTACATTACAGTTTAAATTTTTTATAATTTCTTAGTTCATATGAACATTTGCACTTTGTTATAACTAACAAAAGACATTTCTAATGTTATATTTTTAACTGATTGGTACAAGCTAATTGGTATAAGATCATTTACTTCTTAACTTTTATGTTTGTTTTACAATTTTAAGGTTTTTAATATTTTCTAATATCTTGGAATTTTTAATGGTAAACTCTTTTGTCATTAGACTCTAATCCGAAGATCTCAGTTTCCAGTAGTCTTATTTATTTTATTTTTGATTTTGAACAGTAATAAAAAAGATAGGATAAGATGTATTGTAGGAGAGTGATTGTCTGGGCATGATTGGAAGAGTATGCGTCTTAGGAGAGAATACAGGATATAATTTTTATTGATGTCTGCTTATAAATATAGTCAGAGTTTTTAAATAATTGAAAATTAAAATCAAATTAACATCTTTAGAAAATAAAAATCGGCATTTTTCTCTGGTTCATTGTTTTGGAAGCAACAAACTGTGTCTTCAAAATTAAAGAAAATAACTTCTACCAGATTTTTTAAATTTATATATTTTACTTTTAACTAAGCGAACAGTCATGGGAAAAAAATTTAACCCAAACTACAAGGAATACATTGTTAGCTCTACCGTTTCAAGTTTTAAGTAATGATTCAGGTTTTAAATGTCATCAAATTCGTATTCATCATAGTTAGATTATGGTGAAAAATTTCATATAAATTAAGACAATATCATGCCCTACATTTTACACTACAATGAACTAACAATTTCAACTGCAGCTTCATCACATAAAAAGATTGTTACTTAAAAATACGCTGGATTTGGCAAGAAGTCGCCAAATGTGTAGCTATTTGGAGGAATTGAATTTTCGCGGGTGGTTTGGTGTGTATGGATAACTTGAAGAACAGGGTGAAAAGCTGTGAAAAGGTCATTCTAGCTTTGTATGTGTTCTTAGGTTAGCTTGATGTGAAGTATAGTAAATATATTTTGGCAGAGCACTCAATACCTCTTTTAGCGATTTTACCCAGTTTAATAATTCTTTGATAATACAATACATAATTATTATCCATTTCACATTTAAACATTAACCGCATTGTCATCAGATCTCAATCTTAATTGCCTTACTCTACATAATATTGCTTCATTCGTCAAATTCACAAATGTATCTGTCTTCTGTTCCACACATTTGCGTAAAAATGTACATAATTTTACACAAATGTGTCGTTACAAATCAAGGAAAAGTTAACTTATTGGCATATCTGTGTGTATATTTATTAATTTTGACGAGGATTGCAGCATTTGTTGGTAATTTTATTTTTTAATTAACCCAAATAAGTAATTAACCTAAATAAATAAAACACGTAAACCCAAAGTGATTATTTTTCAGTTATAAACAAATAAAATGATAAGTTTAAAAGGAGCAACTACAAAGCCTCTCCTCCAAAAATTTTTTAAAAGTACATGTAACAATAACATGTGGATGATAAAAAAATTTATTTTATTTAAAACATTTTGGCATCTGAAACATAAAATAAAAGTAGTGAATATTCTATCAAGGGTATCAAAAGACATATATAATTTTAAAGGTTTCGTTATAAGGTATTTCTCCTGCCTTCCTAGCATGCCTTCACGGTTCTGCACGCTGGGCTGGTATTCCATAGGTCCATGGTTCCATTCCTGGCGAACGCGTAATTTTTCATTTCTCTGGCTTCCAAAAAAATCCTAATATCTCTACAGTGGTGCCCGAACTAAAAAGTGTGTTGGATGATGATTCTCCTCACCCAAGATTTGACGATTGGGTCCCTTAAAAACCCCAGTCGCCCTTTAAAAGGGAGAGTACATAAGGTATTTCTCCCATCTTCCTAGCATGCCTTCGTGGTGTAATGGTTCTGCACGCTGGGCTGGTAATCCAGTGGTCTGCAGTTCAATTTCCGCTGAGGGCATTGCTAATTTTTCATCTTGCTTGCTTCCAAAAATACCTAATATCTCTACATCGTAAAGTATTTTCCATTCTTTAAGCATAACATTTTTTGCTAAAATCTACATTTTTGTAGTTCAACAAGCTTAGAATTTTATAAAACAAATTCATAATCAAAATCACTGTTGTTAGTTATCAAAAAATAACCAAGATGCGATTGCGTAAATGCCACTAAACTATACAAATTGCTATTATCCATCACACTATTAATGTTTCTTTTATGAGGAAGTGTCCCGTTTTTCAATTTGTATAGAACTGTCATATGTCAAAATACTATCAGAGTACTGTCAAGGGAGCTTTTGAATGTAAAAAAAAAAAAACCCACCCCATCTTTAGACCGAAGCATCATAGTGCAGGTTTGGCCCCACCTTCTTTTCTTACCTCCGATGGATGGGACAGACATTTTGAAATAATCAACCTGTTTAGTACAGGAATCAGTTAAATGCATGGAGCTATTTTAAGGACTGGCTTTATTAGCAGTTTGTTACTCTGGCAGAAAAGTTCTACAATGAAAAATTCTGTCAAGGAATGCATTTCTCTTTCTTGACAATGCCTCATCCAATCCTGATTTGGCATAACACAACAGAGAGTGTAATAGCTGTGTTTCTCCCTTCTAATGGGAGTCTGATATGTTAACAGTCTAAGCAATTTTGAAGCACTAAAGAACAGATACAGATAGGGCAATCTTAATAGATGGGCATGCTGGACACTTGCCAGGGTATCCCACCAGCTCAGAGGCCCCATGGCAATCCATTCATATTTCATTTTTGTCAGTGGTTGCTGTAGGAACCCCAGCACATAGGTTTGTCCGGAGGCCCATAATGCTGTAAAGATGCCACCGATAGAGATGTGAACCACCTCTCTCATCTCTACCATGGAAAAAGGTTGTGATGTGATTGATAAATGAATGAAAATAGACATGTTGAATATATTGCAGATATCTGAATATTGGAATGAAATTGAGCATATGAGGGTTGTTGGTTTCTAGATAAAATTTCTGGATCTTTCAAAAAAAAAAAAAAAAAAAAAAAAAAAATTGTGTTTCAAGAAAGCACAGAAGAGAAAGAAAATTATGAAATCATGGATCCATCAGTCAATATTACTTTCAATTAAGACTCTACAACCTACTTTATTTACGTAACCAAAACAGTTCAATGTCTATTAATTAAGATTAATCATTTATTTATATTTTAAAGTGGATCAGGAATTAGTAGAAATTATGAGCCACCAGGGTATAATATAAGCACATCTAATAAAGTCACTATTCAACATATATTCAGCAACTAACACACCATTAATAAACACAAGTTAAAAAATTTTTAATTTTCAAAACAACATGAAATTTTATAGAATTAAAGAAAAGTAATGTAAATATAAAAAAACTAAAAGAGGCAACTCACTTTCAGTCATCTCCTTAAACAATGCCACAACTTCAGGATGGTATCGCAGCAGTTTCTCAGATACTTTTACAAGGGACACTAGAATTTTTCTAAGCTCAGTATGAAACTGCAATAAAGAAATTGACCAAGATTTCAGCAAGATATCAAATAATAATTTTACAGGAAAATCAGCACCTAAAAGTTATTTATAAAAAATAATTATAAACTATAAACATAATTTACTCCCCAACTATACATAATGATCAACTTTGATCGGTAAAAAATGTTTACTTCCAGAGAAGAAATCAAAGTTCATAGAGTTTTAATCAGAATTTATAATAAATTACAGTTTCTTTTCTTTTCTGATTTATTAAAATATTGTGGTCATTTCAAAATATTTTGCGATACATTCTGATTATCTGCACTCTCCTTTCTGAAAAGTTGCCAAACATTGGTGACTAATTTTTCATCAAGCTCAGACATGAAAGATAATAGTCTTTTTTGAAAACTGATGCCACATTAAGAATCACATACAACAACCAATTAACAAAATTTAAAATGCAAGAAACATCCATCAAAACACTTTTTTAGGGGGGCATTGTTCTTCCCACATTCATCACAATCTGTTTTAACTCCAAAAAAAAAATCAGAAAATTGCAGAAACCTGGTATTGTGCAGAACTTAGCACTGCACACACTATTGTTTTCTTTATGAACACAGCAGTCTGTCTTTGCTTAAAAACAATCAGGGAACTGCATAAATTTTGATCCTTAAAATGTGATCATTTACGAAGTAGAACTTATTAGAATGTGAATTTTTGCATTCTCTACTGTTAGGCAAAATGGTATATTTCTCAAGAAATGCAGCACTTTTTTTTTCATCAGCCTGGAAATTCCATAGTGTCGTTACGAGTCGTAACAAGGAAAAGAAACATACATAATGCAACAAAAATACATACTAATGACCTTCATCAATGCAACAAAAACAAACAGTAATGACCAGTACTCATCTACTGTGAATTTGCCTCATGAATACTTTTCAAACGGGAAGGAGAGGGTTGTGTAGATAATCAGAAAGAACTAATTTTGCTTTCTATATATAATAATCAAAGATTTCATTGGTGAGAATAGTAGTAATGTGTATGTAGTGCATTACCATAAGCAAAATCCTTTAACCTTTTACCATCTCCATCGTTATAAAAAGCACAAGCTCATATTTTTTTCTGCCTAACTTTTTACAGCACAGAAAGTACCGATCATTATTCCTCTATTCGTTGTTAATGCTTTGCTCACAGCTGTAATTTTGATGACCTCAATTAGTTGCAATCAATATATTATAGAAACTTTTAAGTTTTTTGGGGGGGAGGAATGGGGAAAGTGAGAAATTGGTTATGCCATGCTCAGATTAAATCTGCAGATTTTATAACTGCTACCTGGATATGCTATCTGCTTATGCCATAAGAGCTCATACAGAAGAATGAAATAATCCTTTATATTTTCTCTTCAAGAGCAATTATGAACAGGCAAGAAACTCAACTCGACCAAATCTGAACAGTCATGAGTTCTTGACTATCGCATTTTAATCTAAATGATACTATAGAGAATATTAACTTTTTTTTGAGCCAGGATATTTGAGAAACCCAGTGGCTAAGCTGGGATCTAAACTACAGATTTTCCAACTGTTACCTAGCTATGCTAATTATTTACACCATCAATGCATGCACAGACAAACACAATAATTCTTTATAAAATAATATACCTGACTAAGTATGTTGTCCTTTAATTATGACACAATGAAAAAAAATAATTTACCAGATTAAAATTGTACTAATGAAAGAAAAAACAAAGTAACTATTTTGGTGACAGTAATGGAGTTTAGTGATAAAAATTAGAAAGTTTAGTGATAAAAATTAGAAATATTAAATAGGATAAATAATTTTGGTACTATTCCGTTTTGAGGACTGTAAAAAATTGCGGCAAAAATGTATGCCCAAAAGCACCAAATCTAGCGTACACGCTGATTTCAATTTGCGTAAGTTTAGATAGTACTATATTTCTTAAGACAACATTGAAGTAGTTTAATTTTTTAATCTTTTTTTGATTTTAAATCCTTTTCTGATATCCTATGGATTTAAGAATTTGAGAGTTGTTTTATGAACTGTTTTTAAGAATTTCGGATACTCGTTATCCATGTACATATCGACCCATTTTCACTTTAAAAAAAATTCCAAAATTGCACAAAAATGGCACTGTGCACACCCGACTTTATCTATGTACACATCGACCTATTTTCACTTAAAAAGTAAAAGAAAATTGACAAAAAATTCATTTGTTTTTAACCCTTGTAAAAAAAGTACCAAACAAATAAGTGGGCGATTCTGCACTTTACCAAGAATGTTTTCAAAAAAAAGGTATCATTCATTATAGAAAATTATTTTTGAACAACCAACAAGATGAAATTATGCTTTAGCTATAACTCGGTAGTGAAATAGCAATGCAGGAATCCTTTCAGTTATGTTTAGCTTTTTTTATATATAAATTATAATAATGATCTGAAATAGTCATTTACTCTTATGCTTCCATTCAGTTATGTTTAGCCTTTTTTTATATAAATTATAATAATAAAAAGTATTATGTGAAAATAACCTTTCATCTAAATTAAAACAATAATCTTTAGATAGTTATTTACTATTATACTTCCTTTCTTGCGTTAGGGTTGCCGCAATTATTTTTGGCAGCACTGGCATCAACAATAGTTTGGCGATTTTTTACGGTCCTCAAAACGGAATAGTACCATAATGGTTCATTAGTACATCTAAATAAATTTAATGAAATAACTGCCAGGCACACAAAAGATATCTCTAGAGAGATCCATCACGAATGATAGTCAGGAGTACATTAATTTATAAAGGGGGTGTTTACATATTTTTAGAATGATTTCTAGCAACAGCTTATTATTTGAAATGAGAAATACCATTTGCTACTTTTAAATTTATTTTTCTTTTAAAATATCACATGTAAATAAGCTGTTGATTGAAGGATATGTTTTTGTGCTTTAGAAGAGAAATATTCCAATTCCACATTTAAAAAACATGAAATCCAGGTATCAAAATTTCTAAATGCAAAATAAGTAACATTATTAATTAGAAAGAAAATGACTATCAATCATTACTGTAGTGCCTGGTCCTCCATAACTTTAATCCTGAAAGTAAATAGCACCTTTGAGGTGGACGAAAAGAGTTAGTTGGAGACTGGCTTACAGCGGGAGAGGCCGAATTTTCAGTGTAGTGATTTTGTAATCAACAATCCTGCTCTAACTAACATAGTTTATATTTGTACAAAATGCATATAATCTATGTTTGTGTTGTAAATAAATGAGAAATTTAACCTGAGTGTCATTAACTGTGTACAAGGCGCGACACCGGCCACAACTGAATCTTAGACTGGTGTAGTGGACTAGATCAGAATCAAAACTACATTTCTCAACTAACAAGTAATTTACACTTACCTATTACTTTCAAAGTAACTCTGATTGTAAATTATAGTTATGAAAACTGTTCAATGAGATAAATAACAAGTTTCTGTAATAGTCTGAAGTAATTAGTGCTATATTATGAAAACGTAACAAAGGCAAAAAATATTCTCAGTTAAAGGTCTCAAAAAACAAGATATGCCGCTATTGGCTAAAGAATTATGTCAGGATGCTGATGAAAGTCTTAAACTCATGGAACTGAAAGATAACTTTATTAACAACAATGATTACAAAACTGATCCTGAATTCATTAAATCAATGCTCATATCCATAACTGATGACAGAAAATCAGCTGAACTGGAAGCTGAAAAGTTGAAGATAGAAAAGTTTAAACTAGAGAAAGAACATGAGCTAGAAATCATAAGACTTGGAGCTAATTCTAATCTTTCGAAAAATCAGCTGAAGAATTGGAAGCTGAAAAGTTGAAGCTAAAAAAGTTTAAACTAGAGAAAGAACATGAGCTAGAAATCATAAGACTTAGAGCTAATTATAATCTTTTGGATTAGATTCATATATAATTCTAATCTTTCGGATAACACATCTTTAGAAAATTTAATTAAAAGCATAAAAACACTAGCGATATCTGTTTCGACTCATCCAGAATCATGGACACTTTATTTCTTTTTGCTAGAACTAGCGTTTAAGATAAAAAAGTGTGTCAGAAGAGTGCATAGCAGAAATTTTGATTTGTTTGGGTGAAAATGTAACAAATGCTTTATGTTAGTAAAGATGATGTCAAAAATTATGAAGCAGTTAAGAATAAAATCTTAAAAGAATATCAGCCAACTGCTCAAGAATGTTTAGAAATATTTTGAATGGCTAAACGTCAGTCGGGAAACACACAGTTTGCAGCGCAGTTAATGAATGACACAGTGGAAATACTATTTCCTGTTCAAGAATGCAAATGATTTAAATACAGTTCAAGAATTAATTGTAGCCGATATATTAATGCAAACTCTTGATCATGAGACAGCTATGCATATAAACGTAAAACAAAGTAATAGTTGGTTAAAATCCACAGAAATCAGAAAGGAATGTGACACATTTTTTTTCTTGCAAAAGAATATCATTAAATGATACTGGTAACTATTCTCAGAAAACATTGAATATTGAAATCAAAAGTATCCCCTCTGTACTCCCTCCAATGTGAAAAAAGGACAGTTTGTCCAAAACTACCAAACTTAAAAAGGATTGAAATACTTATGGATCCTTCCAACGTATAGCTACAAACTGTCAGAAAAAATTTTAACACGAAAATCAAAATAAAACTCATTTTGAAAGTAGCAAATTACAGAAAAATGATGCTGTTGTGGCCCAAATTAATACAGAATACATCGATAAGAAACACATTGAAATTTAGCCTCTGCAGTATGTGAAAATACTAGTTGAAAATAAAGAAATTTATGCTATTACCGATTCAGCTATAGAATCTGATATTAAACAATAATATTTTCTGCATTCAATGAAGAAATAGAAGTGAAATAAGGTCATTTATGTTGTTGAAAGATGATGATTCCAATTTATTAAGTTACCCGGTAGACTTCTTGGTGGCAAAGATGGATTACTTGAATGTAGATTGTTTATTACCAGTATAAACCTTTTAACTCTTGAACGATGGGTAAACGAAACTGGAGGTGAAACAGAAAAGTGTTTACACTACATGGTGCAAAATATGCCTAAAATAAATTTTCCTCTCTCAGATGCAGAAACCAAAATACAAAAGAGGGACGACCCATATGTCAACATGCATTCAGTAATAACTCCAAACCATATATTCAAAAATGATCAACATAATGAAATTCCGAGAGAAGATGTGTTCACTTAAAGTAAGAATTCACTTAAAACAGTGAAAAAGAAATTTTATGGAACTTGATAATATAATTTTTCATATGGATAAAGTAATGGGAAATTCAATTCAGCAGTTAACGTATGCTCGAGAGATATGTGATCCACTGAGCATTCTGAAATCAATTGGAGTGGTGAGACACCAATATTTTTAAATATGAAGCAATCAGTTGTTGATTACTTACAGGAAATGAAAATACACTTAGAACAAGCAGCTTATCAAGCATCCTTGACAGCATCAGAGGAACAGACAGCTTATTTGAATTACTTTAATCACATAGCTATTCCTAAAAAATTTAAAGTAGAAGATAAAATTTATTTGATTTTTTCTTACTTATCTAATAAACTGCAGGCAAGATGGACTGGTCCAGGGAAGATTACAAAGTACTGTCCACCCCATTCATACAAAATCAAACTCTCTGATGATAAAGACATGCATGCTCATATGAACAAAAACAGAAAATATATCACTAGAGTAAATGCCATGGGAGTTATCTTCGAAATCTCAAGATATAAAAATTGTTCTCAAGAAACTGCAACTTGAACATTTAACAAATGACTGACAGCAACAAATCTGACAACTCATAAGGAATCACAAATCGTTATTTACAGGTAAAGTGAAAATTACAAAATAAAATTAAAACCCAATGAAGAAAGGGGAAAAACCACATATTTACCGAATTCTTGAAATATTGACAATATTACAGTTTTTTCAAAGGACGCCAAGTTTGAAGATTTACAATCAATATCAGCAAATGTGATTTTGACAAACCACATATCAAATATTTGAATTATGTAATTGGTTCTAAAACATCACACGAGTCTTGAGAAGACAAAAGGAATTTCCAGATTATCAAAACCAAAGACAAAGAAGCAGCTCAGAAGTTTATCAGGCCTATGTAATTATTATAATGACGATATTCTAAAATATTCTGAATTAGTATACCCACTTACTGAATTTACAAAGAAGATACCTGAGGAAATACTTTGGAGAGGGAGCATAACATAGCTTTTGAGGAAATCAAAAAAGCTCTGACTATAGCTCCATCATTGTATCCATCGGTTTTGACGCAAGAATTCATTATGCATTGTGGTGCCTCTCAAATAGGCATTGCAGCAAGTTTATCTCAAAATTTCAATACACAGATTTATCTCATAGCCTATGCAAGTCAGAAGTTACTTTGAACTCAGCAATCACGATCTACTTTTGAAAGAGAAATGTATGCTATTGCATGAAATTTGAAGAAATATGAAATTTGGATTTTCAGATACAAAACTGAACTATACACTGACAATAATCCATTACCTTACTTAAGTAAATGTACATCGCAATCATCTAGATCACAACAATGGGCTTTTGCCTTATAAAAATACAATATCAATATGAAGCCAAAGCAGGTAAAGCCAAAGCAGATGGTTTATCCAGACTGATAAAAGAATGATTATCTTTTTCTTACATGGACAGAAAAACTTTTTAGATACTTGATTATATGTACAATTTATAAAGACTTTAAATTTATTGACTTAGATTGATAGATTAATTTTCTTATTTTCTTTACAGCTTATTGCAAGATATTTCTTTACTGAGCAATATTTGTAATATTACAGAAATTAGATATTACAGCAATTAGCTAATTTAAGCATAACATTCTTAACCAATTTTTTTAAGCTTTTATTTAAAAATATTTACTTTAAGAATTTATTTTGTTATGAAAATGTTGCAATATTTTTACATTTTCTTTTAATTTTAATACTTAAGTATCAGATTAATACATGTAATGTTGGATTGTGAGCACTTAGCCTTTTGTCATCAGAATGTGACTGGACATCCTGCTCAACCACAATCTTATGGGGGAGGTGTAGTGCCTGGTTGTCTGAAACTTTACTCCTAGAAGTAAGTATCATCCTTGAGGTGGAGAAAAAGAGTTAGTTGGAGACTGGCTTTTCACAGGAGAGGCCAAATGTTCAGTGTAATGATTTCATAATCAACAATTTTGCCTTAATTAATATATTTTCTATTTGTATAAAACAAATAAAGCTAGGTTTATGTTGTAAACAAATTAGAAAATTAATCTGAGTGTCATTAACTGTGTACAAGACGCAACACTGGCCAAAACTGAAACTTACAATTACTTCTACATGGAAAGAAGACTCCAAATGAATATCTGAAAAAGATACGTACTGTTTTTAATGTTTCAGAACTTAAATCATTAGTAATAAGAGAAAATCCACTCGTACAGAAATCAACTGCAAAGTCTTTCAATACATCTGTAGCAACAATAAACAAAATCGACTTACAACTTAATAAAGCCATAAAGCATAATGTTCACCATCTTTCACCAAGGCATGAGGGTCACTGCAGGACCCTGTATGAAAATTATTTAGTGGGAAATAAATGAAAATATACTGTGATCCTTGATGAAGCATGGGTTTACCTAAATGACTGCAAGGGAAAAAAATCTATTTGTTATTGAAAATGTAGAGGGAAAAAAAAAAAACATGTACAAATCTGCAATGCAAAGAAAGTTTTAGTAAAAGGTTTATGATGGTCGCAGGAATTTCTTAAAATTAGAAATTAAAAACAAGTAGAGTGGGAAAAAAATGTTAAAATCAACTCCACTTTGGAGAGAAAGTTTTATGTCTGAAATTTACAAAAGAAATTCTGTTTCTTTATCCTAATGACGTTCAAAGAGTGAAACTTAAACAAGATAAAACACCAAGTCATAATTTGAAAAGTACAACTGCATTCCTTGATAAAATGAAGACTGAATGAAAATATATAGAGAGAGAGACTGAGCTTTACAAAGCATTCTTTCAAAGTCCCCTAATGTTTCACTTATGAACTATTGTGCCTTTGATCTATCAAAAAGTGCTTTTTTTAAGCAGAAACTCACCACAATGGATGGATTCTGGAAAGAAGTGGAAGTGGAATGGAAACCAACACTCCTGGAAGTTTTAGAAAAAGACCTTTTATCATGAAATCAAGATGCAGACCTTATAGTCCAGAAATAGGCTACTAGATTGAGCATTTAAAAAAATACTCTTTATATTTTAAAAGATAATTAAATTACTTCAAAATCATTCTAAAAATGTGTAAACGCCCTCTGTAGTTATATTACATTTGTAAAAAATTACAAATACTACCTACCAATTTGTTAAGTTGAAATAGCCACCCCCTGAAAAAATTTAAGACTTCAATAGGGTTTTCCCCCTTCTTTTTGGTCATTTGTTAACCTTGCATTATTTATTAAAACAATAACTGAGATACAGAATAAACTGAAATTACAAATTTCTCTTTAGAAACATTATTTCAGCAGAAAACATATGCATATATATATTTGTGTAACACTGCATAACATCATATATGTGAATTGTATAACATTACGATAACATACGTCAACAGGCACAGGAGGATTTTCAATTGAATTCTCGATGTTTTTTGAATGCAGATTTGCTGTTTCTTTTTGTATCTCAGCTTCAGTTGGGCCTCGGCACTTTTCTTCTTTCTGAAAAAAAGAATAAAATAGAATATACCCATACCAGTTTTTCAAGCCATGAAATCTAAAAATTGGAAAATTAATCTTATTCACATTGTCACATGTTATGCTTGGCAGGTAGAAAAAGAATCAACACTAAAGCTAAAAGCATTGCATTTAATTAATTTTCAATTACTCTTCAAAATATATCACACATCCTACATTCTAAGACACTAACTTTCTTTTAAAAAAATCTTTAAAAAAAATTGTAAATTTGCATAAAAAATAGTGAATATTGCATATATTACTCTTCTTGTTCTACATGTCAAAGAAAAATATTTCGTGATGGGAAAACTAAATCAAGTCTACTTTCCAAAAGTGCTAATATGCCATATAAAGTTAATTTGGGGGGTAGATGATTAAATCACATCAATTTTCATGACTAATCATTTTAAAAAATTAGCATTATCAAGTGCTGAAAAATTATGTTACATAACTGCAAATTTATACACTTGTGTTTCATTTTGTATGCAAAATACTTGTTAAAGCAGAACTTTACACACATTAAGGAAACAGCTGTGTTTAAGCAAGAACAGACAAATATCCCCCCCCCCTGAAAGGACAATTCTTTCTGTTCTCTTCATGGAGATGAAAGACGACAAACATGAAGACTGACTTTACTGAAGTAATAAAATCACATTATGGAGCTAAAAGTCAATGTTACAGTAGATGCCATTTAATGTGACTGCAGTTAATTTTATCATTCAGATATTATTATCAAATTGCCCAAGTTTTAAAGTTTACACACGAAAACATGAAAAATACATTGCTTATTGTGATCAATAATTTGGCTAATATTATCAAGTTATTTTAGCTAAAGTTGCCAAATAAGGTCATAATAGATTACAGAAATTGCTAAGTGTTAGAGAAATGTTGCCAAATATGGGATTATGTCACCAAACAGCATGCTTTCGATTTAATCAACAATATAAATTTAGGCAAAAAAAGCAATTTTAATATGGCTAACATTTTGAATAATCTATTTTGAAGATGACTAGACGAAGGTCCTCTTCTTCAGCAGCAAAATTTTTCTCCCCATTCCACTCCTTTAAAAAAAAAAATCTATACCAAACATAAATTGCATCTTTGCCTCTTCCAGTGAATAAGTGAGTATTAAGATTAGGGGTACAGTATTGACATTGATGGTACAGTATATTTTTAGAAATGTTACATACAATTCATAAATGATATTAAATAAAATAATAATAACATAATAAAGATAAAAATAATAATAATCATAAATGACATTAAAAACATTATTTGTAAACAAATGTTTTAACTTTCCTTATTAAAATTCCACGAAAATAGTTATTCATATATTTCTTGGTGTATTTATATTAAATTGATTAAATTTCATTGGAAGATATATTTTCTCATTTAATGCCATCATTTAAATGCCATCATTTGGTTAATGTCATAAAAATAGCCGTGAACAAACATGATCACATTATCTGACGCTTACTTACTTTGGAGTCACTGTATAAGGCAGGAGTTGACAAACTTTTTCAGTTGGCTTACAAGCTTTCACTTACACGTTTAGTATTTTGTCATGGCACCCTAGTCATGTTCAATGAAGGGTTGTTCAAGGTTTGTGCTTTACAACCTGCTTACTACATAGTGTTATAGCAAATCACACTTCATTAAATATGACTGTATATTGATACTAGTGACCAGGCATAGAAATGACAGCAACCACAATCTGAGGCTGCTCATATAGGCATATATTGAACTGATACACAAGAATATTATTATTATTAAAGAAAAATAGGAAAAATCAATGGGACGGATGAGCTTGCTGAGGTGACAGCGAAGGATAGACACTGCCATTCTCTTTTCTTGCTCCAAGATGATCTTTGAATGATATTTGCTCTTTATTATAGTTAAAGCTGAAAATCTGGTTTCACATAAATATGATGTTACAAAAGGAATGAGAATCTTTAAAGCTTTTGAACTTAAGAGTTTGATATACATTTTTGATGATTATCCAAAACTCCACCAAATCGGAACAAGCAAATTTTGTTTTAACTCTTTGAAATCTAGACCCTTTGCTAACCGGTATCCTGAAAATACCGAACCACCCGAAATACTTTTCCAGTTTTACAGAAATTTCTTCCCCTCCGCATCCATTAATGCAGAAATAGGTGTGAGGATTTTGAATGACATCCTTTGTACTACCTAACAAAGTTTCCATTAGCCTCTGACCCTGTTCTTTATATACCTATTCTGAAGGTCAGACCAACAAGCCTTTCTGGCTTTGTTATTATCACGACTGAGATTTTGTTTACTTCCGTTATTTTTATACGAAGGAATAAATTGATTAAAAATAAATATAATCCTTAAATTTTTAAACTGCACTTTTATTGCTGTTTAAAGCTTAAAAGCACACTGTACCAAAAAAGAATCAACAACGAAATGTCAAGAGCAACCAAAAGATAAGAAACCTCTAAGGACAAGCTGTCTGCAGTAAACTGATACAATGCATTTGTCGTAAGAGTTGTTGTCATAAGAGCTGTTGTCATAAGAGAGTTTGGTGGAACTTGAGCATGGAAAGGATTTTGGATCCACAAAATATTTCTCGATATTTTGCAATGCCTCCTATGAAGGCATATACAGTAATAATTAGTTTTGAAAGTTTAGTAATTAAGCAATAAAATTTTTTATGTTATGTAATAATTAGTTTTCAAAGTTTAGTAATTAAACAATAAAATTTTTTATGTTATATAATAATTGGTTTTCAAAGTTTAATAATTAAACAATAAAAATTTTTATGTTATGCAATAATTAGTATTGGCAAAGATCACTGAAAATACATGTTCAATGATGCAGTATTTATCAGGTGTCTATGGATTTTGCTGCAGAAATATATAGATGATGATATAGTTTTTCCTTCGGTTACCCGTAAATACAAGTCAGATTTCCGTAGAAAGTTATCTGTAAAGACCTCTCCCAAAGCAGGTAATGGAATTCCGTTATTTTACCATACTAAACTACACATTAATTTTTCTAATTTTGCAATATCCTTAGAAGAATCGTTTTCTGAAGTCCTCAGGATTCGAATCAGCGGAAATTGTAATTATATACATTGACGAAATAAATGAAGACATAGTTTGGGGTTTTAAAAACATGAATCGTTAAAAAACTCGGAAGTTATTTTAAGGTTCAAAAGCGATTTTATACCTAAATGTAATAAATAAATAATAATAATAATAATAAAAAAAGAAATAAAAAAGTGATAAGACTGAAATTGACAGAAAAAGAAAATAAAAATGCATTAAATGGGCAGTGAAACTAACACGCAAGAAACTTGGCAAATGTCCCAAAAACAATAAGAAAAATTAAAGCATAAAAGTAATTTATAAAGGCTTAAAAATTAACTTTTTAATTTATTAATGATATCAATTAAAATGGAAGTGCACTAGAACAGTTTATTTAATTGCACGGAAATTTCTTGACGTAATGAATAACGGTCAAGGTTAAACTGAAAAGATAATTAGAGGTCAAGATAAGCAGAACGCCGGGGAAAAGACGTGATAATTAGAGATCGGAGGCTTCGAAACTAAAAATAACGCAGGCAAACAAAATATTCAAAACAATTAAAAAATAGTTAAAAATTTGAAATTGAATTTATGATAGTATTTTATGCGGATTTGTTCGGAAGACAGCTGTGTGTGTTATAAAACTTATTTTTTAAATCTCCAGATGCGAAAGTTTGATATATATCAGGCGATATTGCTTTAAATTTTGAAAAAGGCTTTTTTCCTTCAATGCAGTCTCTTGGATGCATACCTAAAATAGTTTCTATGGCAGTTTATGAAGTGACTTCTACTGTAGCTCTGCATTAATTTTTAAGAACTTTTTAAAGGATTCAGTCTAGACTTGATGAAATCATAGTTTTTCATTTCTTCTTGATGATTTCGCAAATTTTAACAACATGAAAAGGCCTTGTAAAATAGAGACTTTAAAATCAAATTGCATATGGACTGAACGCACGATCTGAAAGCAGCCTGACGGGCCTGAAATTTTCTTTCCTTATCTTTTTTTTAAACAATTTAAAACAAAATGAAACAATTTTTGATTAAAATTGACTGATTAAATATTTATCAAAACATGCATATACAATAATGATAATAATACTCGAAAGGAAAAATTCAAAATTTTATTTATTTTTTATCTGAAATCTAGAGGCTAGTAGCTGCGAAAAATTTCTGCTGGTTACATTTTATAATTCGAACGTATTGGAGGCCTAATGTTAAGTTTTCAGACCGACATTTACCCTTAAATGTTTCAAGTTATTTAGGGGACAATTCAGGGAACTAATCACTAAATACAGTGTCTCAAAAAAATGATGGGACACTTGTGCTTTACAAAAGGAAACTGCAATAAAATAATATTAAAAACATGTAAAATTTTTTGTGGGTGTGTTTCATACTTAAATTTAGTAACAATTATTACATAACCACACATTTTCTCAAAATATTAAAATATTAATTTAATAGAAAATACAATTGTTTAGAACGGAGCAAAAAATGGCTCACTTAAGTGATTGGATACTCACGTAAGTGATGGGGACATTTACTTTTCCATCAAATATTTATCCAAAAAATTTTACTTTTTAAAACGGTTTTAATATTAGTTTTTGTGGATTTCCTTTTACTTTTAAACATGTGAATTTAATCTTCTTGGGATGGATTTCGACTAATTCTTTTGTGATTTCTGGAGTGATTTTACCCCGTTCTTCTTGAAGCACCGATTTTAATTGTTGTTTTGAAGAAATGGTGTGTTTGCGAATTCTTGATTCCAATTCTTGCCAAATATTCTCTATGGGATTTAATTGTGGAGATTGTGGGGGTGTTTTTATTATTTCAGGACAGTTATACAGCAGCCAGAGTCTAACGTTCAAAGCACTGTGCTTGGGTCATTGTCCTGGTAGAATTTAAAATCGTTATGAAGGTTCAATTTTCGTGCTGAAG